GCCACCTTGAGCCAGGAATGCAGTGCAGTTTTTGCACTCTTGTCCTCGGATATTAATCCATTCCACCAAAATGCACACTCCACCTTTGACGAATGTTATTATATCCATTTGATCATTGGCTGCTTGAAAGTAATCATGAAAGACAACGCCGTCAGTATCATAGTTGCATGTCATACGAAATTTACTGGAATCGTTTTGCATGGATTGCATTCTGGGCTTTGAAAGACGATATGCATCCCAACGGGGGGTGTTTTCATCAACAGAGAAATTCAAATTAAAGCCCTTGTAGGCAAATAAATCTTTCTTTCGTAGTTCATATGACTGAACCAGTGTCCATGCCATCGTTGAATTCAAATCAAAATCACAGAAAACATCAAAGGGATCCATGTTGTCATCAAAGACCATGTATAATCCTGGAACTCGGCTACCATTGACGTAACCACGACAGGATTTAACCACCACATGTTCACAGAGATTTCCTGTATAACCCATTGGACAGTGGCATTTAAAGCGAGGTTTTGTGTAATCTGTGGGGAACAATGACTCGTGACTTCCACCATTTTGACATGGGTTGACAAGACAAGCAGGACTGCATGAAGTAGTTTGACCAACCTTGGAAAGAAAAGAATCAAATACAATTGAACCTTAATGCATTTAATTAAAAATATAACGGTATATACAGGGTGTCTCCATAAAAGTTACGCTGCTGTTTGATTTAAAATGACGAAAACTCTCCACCTTAAATCTTGACGAATTACAACAACGTTTTCGTGCAATACTGAATACGTGATGTTTTAAATTGAATAAGCATTTTTCTTAGAACAAACATTTATTAAAATACGTAACATTTCAAGCATGCGTTATTACTTTATAACTATTTATTACTTATTTTTTTATAAACATATTTATTAATTGTTTTAATACTGTTTGGTACGTATGTACTCAATCGAATGTCAGAACGTATGTCCTCAATCGAATTATTCACTAGGCCGAGGGATCCGTGCCTCGGAAGTTGCCAGGGAGATGTTGAAATCCCCGAATATGGGCCAATGTATCGAGGGTCGACTTCCGCGAATGCACATTATTGATGATCGCAATGATGCAAACGAAATTCTACATCGTAGCCAACCTATGATTGCGGAAATAAGCATTTTTCCACTACCAAATTACGAGTATAAAACGGCCTAATAAATTATGAAATACAGTACCATTTGGTTAAAAAACTTGCACACACGTACCGAAAAGTTGTATCAAAGATTACTATACTTTTAACTGAAAATGCTTGATCTTCAGCACGAATACATTTTCTTGTTTGGAGAACCATGTGATCAAATAATTTTTGGTTAATTTACTATTGATCCAACGTTTTGCGTGGATATATAAAAATTCACCTTTACTGCGATGAGTAATATGACACTGCGACCTAAGCAAATTTGCATATTTTCGGACAACTTTTGACGCCTGCTAGTAAAAATATATACACGTGTGCGAACCAGAAAGGCAGAAAATCATAAAAGAAAGGGCGAATCCGATAATTATTTAGTAAAGCAAGTAATCTAAGATACTGTCAGTGTCATCTAGCGAATTATAATTATGTTTGGTCAGGTTTTATTTTATCGATAAATACGAACTAAGACGAATCCGCAACCCTGTATACTTATTGCAGCTAATTCAGATGAAATCATTCATTCAACATGGAAGATCAAAGGCAAAAAATATGCTGTTGATAGTTAATAATAATAATAAAAATAATAATTACAATATTTAGTCAAGGGGTCCACTCACGAAAGTGATTTTTAGTGGAGCCCTGATAAAAAAAAATAAAAGAATAAAAATATGAAATTAACAAAAGTGAATACATGAAAAGATATATCGTATAAAGTTCTTGCGCATCATATCGGTTCGATAGAGAGTCCTATGGCTATGTAGCTAAATGTTTCTTTAGTTTAGTTTTAAAAGTTTTAATTTGATGTATATTTCGGATTTCCACAGGCAGACTATTCCAGATATAGATATAGTCTAGGACCTGTATAGATGTTTGTATGCGTTTCATTTAGCACAGGTAATCTCAACTGTTTTAGGGTAAAATGACCATGGCAGTCAACATGGCATATGTGCCAAAACCTGAATCCGGGGCGAAAGTCCTGAAAATGACCCCGCCCTGAAACGGCAGTGCCCACATAGCTCCAACTTCCGAAAAGCAAAAGCGATAGGCTTTCTGAAGTGCTTATAGTGTTTAGAAGGGTTGCTTTTAGGGGTGGTCATTGGAAGCAAAAATTTGCCTAGGTATAATATTTTACCAGAAGATGACTATGCACCACCCCAGGTAAATTGCTGATTATGCACAAAATAATTAATATGCCTGGCAGAAATTTAATGTTCTTATTTCCTAAAGAAAATTATCATGGGATGAAAAACTATGCTTAATTTAATATAATAATTGTAGTTTTCGTAAGGATTGTCATTGTTTTCTTTAAATATAATACATTTTAATTCACTCACCCCCCACGAAAACACCATTTCAGCCATACTTTGCCGTCTTGTTTGCTTTTTATCGCCAGGTCTCGCTGATATCATCCAGTTGTTGTACTTTTACATAATGATAGATGGCTGAAGACGATTTCGACGAAGTTTA